TAATTGCTCGAAGTGTTTTTGTCTTCTTCACTCAGGTAGTTCAAACCCAAGCCACAGCAGCTTATTGTAGAATCCTATCTACACTAGACCGCCATGTTTGAGATATCAGTTTATCTCTGCATATTGTAGTAATCTTCGAGTAACAGTATTATAATAGTTACATTAAACTATAGCAAAAACGTTTATACTCCAAACCATCTTTTCATTTTAGCATATTATTTTAGTTTTGTTTTGTCGTAATGGTCTAGGTCTATTTGCGGGTATTGTCATCAAAATATAGGGAATCCATTAACAATTAAAATTTTATAATAGTTTACCTAAGTTATTCTAAACCGAATGCTTTACGGGTTGAGTCGTAGTTCTCAATGTTCCTCTTCATAATTTCCATACACGGTCCTAGGAGTCTTTCAAATGCTCCGACGTCAAGCTTTGCACACTTTGCTTTACCTTTAGCGTACACAGACGCTGATCGCGGTTGATTCATTACCAAAGCCATCTCGCCGAAATAGTCGCCCTTTTTCAACACTGAGATCTCCTTGCTTTCAGCACCTTTTCCTAACACGATCCGTATGTAGCCATCCTCGACAAAGTACATGCAATCTGCGCTATCTCCTTGCTGGATTATGCATTCATGGTTTTCAAAACTCGTACTCTCTAGAGCATCGGCTAAGTTCGCACGTTCGTAGTCCGTCAACTCGGAAAGCATTGGTACACCTTCCAGTAGGGATTCGTAGGAACGTCTCTTTCGAGCGGCGGCGCCTACTACGATACGCCTAAACACTGCTTGATCCAATGCCCATAAGATCCCCTCCGATTGGGCGATTATAGTAGCGTTTCTAGGACAGTTATACATTAGTGCTAACTCACCGAAGCTCCCCGAATCGACAAACGTATGCACCTTCTTCCGTTCCCCAGCGGCAATGTTTATAAGCACATCATACGTTCCAAGCTCGATAACGTAGAAATTATCCCCGTCGTCGCCTTGTGTGATGACTTCATCCCCTTTTTGAACTTTTCTCTCGAGCATCGCATCCAAGATGTCTTGTATTTGTTCAGCCTCGCATGCTTTGAATAACAATATGTTTTGCATAGCGTGTTTGAGCCGACTTCGCTGTTCTTCTGTTTTCGGATGTACGACTTTCTTGACGTCATGATCCTCCTTGCTAGGATCGTAGGTTTCAGCAGCCACGGCTCGTCGCCGACCACGAACAGGCATTCGAACAGGGGGAACCATCTCCTCGTCAGAAGTTGTGTCCGCCATGTCTTCAGCGCCGTTAACAATAGCCGTTGATTTTTGAGCTCCTATGTTGTTGTCATTTGCTTCTGCCACCGGTCGCGTGGCTTGGATGCCTTCTCCTACGTTGCCATGTTTACCGCTGTTGCGTAGTTTGGTGAAGTGCTCCACTGCGAAGGCGGCAAGATCCTCCGGTTTCTCGATCAGACATTGAACTACAAACTCCTGAAGCATGTCATGAAGACCTTGAGGGACGCTGAAATCTCCTACGTAGCCACTCATTATGACGTGCAGCTGTATTTGCGTGTCCGTATACTAGCGGTGTTTACAGTTCAGCAATTTTCCTTTTATCCCGAGACGCGTTTCGTTCCCGATAAGCTGATACCTTGATGTGAATTGGATTTTTGACTGCAGCAAATGGAGTTGTGATTGCCTATGGACGTCGTGTTGGCAACACTGTTATTTATCAAACACACAGCGAGAACCAATCTCGCTATATTGATTATGTGCACCTGTGTTCGCTTAGCGAGCGTCTTTGACTTCACACACGACAAACACGGTTACTCTTGCGAGGAAATATATTACTTACACACAGTTTGAGACCTTACAATTGTTCCCAATGTATAAAACTGCCAGAAATAGACATTTAGTATACACATACTCATATATTCATGAGTTGTTGAGTGAGTGTTGCGACAATGTCCTTTCAAATATGCATTTATGTACAAGTGTGATCGAATCCCAATTGGCACTGGTGACTGCGTGCTGACACGCGTCAAAACTCCCCTTTCGTTTATTTGCAGTGCTGGGGCCCTGAAACTCTGTGGGGTGCGAATTTATTCTTTGCTAAGCAGGCGCTTATAAGCTTAACTAATGTTGATCTTTAGACTAAAATCGAACCTCTTTAGGCCGCAGTATTTATTCTTAAAATGTGTACGCTATTCATATTCGCTAAGTGCAATGTTGACAAAAGTAAGGCGCCAGCCATAGCATTAGTATTCGGCGATCTAATCAAGACCCTGACACCCACGTAAAAAAGAAGCGAAAGCTTTGCGGGTGTTATGTATTCGTCATATAATCAGCTGCCCGAGTTTTCGGTATTAATTTGTATCTTCATAATTTCGTCTTCTGAGTTCACATGGGATGTATCAAGCCGGACCTGGAAAAGTGTTGAATGTTCCGGATCCTTAACTTTCCCCTTTCAAATGCCTTAAAAAACGGGAAATAATCCACTACTCCATTATGTATGCAACAAAAAAGTACAAGTATATATACCTTTGTTGTTGTATATTTATTAATATATACTTTGCAAGTAAAATTTGACCGTATACTTTACTCATTATGTATGCAGCAACAACTAAATATCCTTGATTGTGTTTATGTTGCATGTCTCAAATGAGAGATCAGGAAGTATATGATATGTTCCTCCCACTTTTTCTCAGGTCTACGATACGGTTGAAATGGAAAATATAACGGTCTTAATTCAAGCTCGTTGATTCACAGTTTGTTGAAGCCATTCTAATTACAGAAAAATTAGCCTAAAGCCTGGTTTACACCATCAAAGTTACACCATCGCAGTATTTGTAAGAAATATTTAAGAGAACTGACTCAATGTTTAAAACTAGTCAGTTCCCTCAAAATTTCTTATAAATGCTTTATAAAACTTAGAATTTATACCCATGCAAAATTCCTATTATGATCACAGAAACTTCCATAGTAGTAAGGGCGCCTTGTAGGGCCATTTGTCATAATAGTTTATACTTAATGCCTCAAGGAAGTCCTGCGGTGGACCTCGCAACTTCTGTTATGAATTATTACGGTTTATGAATGGTTAAAGATAGAATAATGTTAATGAATACTATACCAATAAGAGATTGTCAGGTTTTCACCGTATTTGTTTTAAAATACATTAAGAATAAGAGTAGTACATCTTCTATAGAACATTGACCGATTCGAAAACGAGCTGCCGCAATTTTACATTTTTTATATTTTCGGACTAATAAACAATGTTTTCAAAAGGCAGAGTGCAAAAGTTTAAGCCTGAAAACAATCTGCAAGCAAAATTATAGCCCTCTGAATAGATGATTACCCTTATTACGTTTTCGTAGCGCTTTGCATTGTGGTTATCAGTGGTATCACTGATAAAAATAGCGGCCTCGAATGAAAATATTGAATGTTTTCGCGAATATTTTGCTGTTGACTATCGTGCACCTGACCCTAGCTTTTCTAAAAGTTCTTCACACGGGTCGGGACAAAAAATAAGCCATCTTAAATATCAGTGATACCACTATAACCACAATGTAAAGCGCTACGAAAACGTTAAGGGGATCATCTATTGTGCAAAAAGCAAAATCTAGCTGACACATTCCGGTGTTTTTAAGATTTAATTTGTCAAAGAGAATACACGCGGTATCACATTTATACTCTGCAAAACTGTTAGTCTTGAAGATTCTACATGCAAGGTGGCAATGATTACCTAATTGGTTGAAATTAATTTCGGGAGAAAGAAGAATGAGAAATAGTTTTCGAATTGGTCTGTATAGTTCGCTATTCACATGTATGTCTTTATTCAAAGTCAAGCTGACAAATGCATGTATGTATTTTGAGAAAGATATATAATAGATCAGGCACGTTTTCGCCAGTGGAATTGCATTGACGACCTAACGTTTTGATGCTAATTTATATAGACTACTAAATCGGCTAGTTTGCATGAATCGCTGGATAACTCGCATATATACATATAGTTGCTTAACAATTTACGAAAGGATAGAAAGATCTAAGGGCCACATAAGTGGTAACTAAGGATTAAAAATGATAAATATAGGATCAGGCTCTCGATGTTGTATCTCGGCAATTGTAATCTGAGGATTTCTTAATGAAAACATGAGAATATGGAAGATTAATATATTGGACTTTATTGTAAAATGGGGATGTTTTCGGCTTTTGCAATTAGGTCGTAATTGTCTCCTAGGTTACGGCAATTGCCAAATGTTTCCAAAAGCAATTCAAGGGAGAAATTACTTGTGCACTCTTAACGGTGTCTAGACTCTTGTTAATATGTAATGATTATGGATTTCGAGTGTATAAACTAACTTCCAAATACACACCTTTAAGTGTGATAGCTATCACATAATCTCATAATATATTTATGATTTGTGTGCTTAATAAATGGAGCGAAATTATTTCATGTATTATGAAAATGGATTCGGCTTTACGATCTTGTAATGAGGGAGTGAGGTAAAACGAAATTTGAGGTAAAACGAAAAACTATATAGGCCTATATATATTTATATAATTAATTAAAGTTCTCCGGATTGAAATATACTTTTATTAATATACTTTTAATAAAAGTATATTTCAATCCGGAGAACTTTAATTAATTATAATATGCCTGGATCACAAATCTTAAATTATATTATATATATATATATTATATTATATATATATATTATATTATATATATATATATTATATTATATATATATATATTATATTATATATATATATATATATATATATATATATATATATATATATATATATATATATATATATATATATATATATATAATATATATATATAATTCGAATGATGGAAAGGACTGCGATTTCGATGCGGTGTCCAAACCACTTACTACAAGGTTCAAGTCTCTCATATGGGGCTGGGCGTTGTTCAGACTTATTATATAACACACAGGCGCACGTTTATTTATAAGCAGTTGTGTATCGTTAATATTCGAAGATGTACTGAATGCAATTGAGTGTCTTGCCTCCTCTTTTTTGCTATAAACTTGCACTGCGTATATATCTCATCGAGATCCCGGCAGGAGACAGACCCGATTAGAAAGGTTTAAAGTTTCCGCCATGGATGGATCTTGTTATATAGTTTTTCTGCCACCTGGCTGCATTTTTTCAGATTTTTTTGCTTGTATGAATTTTTCTGCTCTCCTGGGTCTACCCCCCCCCCCCCTTACACTTTTCTAATGGTCCGTCCTTTAGAATCAATAGTACGAATCAGTGTGCGCATATACAGTAGGATTGTTCGGCGCCGTCGTCAGAGCGATTGCTTTTCCTGAGGTTTTGGGTTCAGCGGTTCGCGCTACCGACTCTACTGACTCCTGTGGAGAGAATAGGAATACAGTCTGCACTCTTTGTATATCAAGCACGTACCATTAATATGTCTGTGACCTAGCTTATACCTGTTAAAACAATCATTGTGACTATTGTTTATCTAAAGCCTCTTCTCTCTTAGTAATTCTTATACCATGCAACACCGCGGTCAAGCTCACGCGAGAGTCCGCTAAAATGGATAGGGAAATGTCTGCCAAAATAATAGGAGTAGAATACTGAAGGAGAAAAGCATTTACTATAAGGAAACGGCTGAAGGTCCTTGTGACAAGAAGAGTCATATAACTTTTTTGCTATAGCGCGCATTGTATAAAAACAATCTATGTCAAGTCTTTCGAATACGGCAAGCAGTCGATACGCAGCAGTTTTGACCACGCGGTGTTTTTCTTACCTATATAGCATAATGAGAGCAAAACGAGGAATGTACACGGACACAAATGCATACGCCTGATTAACACTGCACCTGCTAAATCACTTAGCTTTACCATTCTTGATAATACACTCGACACATTAACCTCGCAGACATTTTAATGAAAACTTAATTTCTGTCAACATACTCAACCTATACTCAACCTCTCTTAAGGTGACTTACAACATCCCGACTAAGGCTCGCTGCATGATTACGTAAAGCATTCCAAAAATGTTGATTGCGATTTAATGAGTTCAACTTTCAACAAGTTTTCTCATGTTGTTAAGGGTTTAGGATGGTTTTTGTACTGAAAAGTAATTAAATCGATTATGTGTGATGCAATGTTTTAGCTGAAATGAAATTGGTGATGAAGGAAAACACATGTGAATATTCGAATATTGCAGAATGTTAGCTATTTTAGATAAAAATTTCATAATCATGGGTAAAATATATTTTTGCTCCTGGAAACCAATAATAATAGGAGTTCTATTTAAGATGTGTCACCAACTTCATCGCGTAGCTCAGTTCGTAGAGCATTGGACCAGCAAACCGCGGGTTCAGAGTAACATCTCGTATATTTTCACCAGAGTACAAATAAAATTGCCATTTCTGAACATATGAGTAGAGTGCTCAATATACCGTAGTAGAGCTAATAAGATTAGAAGACAAACTTGATTTACTTCAAAAATTAAAAATTTTTTTTTTTTTAATTCACCTGATGAGTGTGGCAACACTCTTATCATACGAAACAAATTTGTAGTGAAATAAAGTTCATATGAATTTTATCACTTAATTGGCATCTCCGTAAGCTGATTAAAAAAATGGGTATAAGGTGATTATAATATGAAGTGGAAGGGTGGGGAAATATGTTACCCGCGGGGAGAACCATGCAGTGAACTCCATATATCTGGAGTGAGAACTTGCGAACAAAAAGTGAACCCACGCAAAAATGGCGGAAATGGGCGTGCAGTGCCAATCCCTTTCCATTGTTTTTGTCTGCGCGGTTAGCACAGTCGAAATTTCGTTTTTTACATCAATTTAGTGAGCCTATTCGCAGGCTAACATCAATTTAAAGAGTAGTATTAGGGTTTCATGAACTGATCATTTGAATAGCAATACGATCCCATCAGGAAAAAAGTAGAATTTGCGAGGGAAAATAGTATAAAAACTGTTTACGACTTTCATCAGCACTGGACGTCAATGTCCTCCATCTTGGCTTCATTTCTCTCATAGGCCGACTTCGACCTCAAATTTGAAATTGGCGCAGCCAACTTTTTGACGACTTGCAAACTTTGCAGCGAAATTAAAAACTTTCAAACAAATTTCCGAAGATTTGTGGCTAAGTTTAATAGACACATTTAGATCGAGGACGCGGACGTCAAAGACGACGTGAAAATGACGTCAAAATGGCGTGGCATATCCATACATGGGCACAACACGCCATTTTCACGTCGTCTAGTTTTGATGTCCGCGTCCTCGATCTAATAAATCTGTCTAATGAAAACTCTTGAACGACCTTTCTTCGCAAACTCGTTATCGCGATTGATCTTTCTATCATATGTTGTCATAGTTACGTGAACCTAAAATTTTTAATTATAGTAACACTTGGGCGGTCGCCGCGTTTTAATCACAAAGGTTAATGAAGAAACAATTATCACTTGTGTTGTGGTTGCAGTGAAAGTTCACGGCCAACTTACAATTATTACGAAATGCCGCACGTAATTATAGAATTTATTTGAGGCATTGTTTTTACATGAATGCAAGAGTAATATAGATGTCATGATATTTCATGCCTTTCATATGTATTGGAAAATTAATATGTAATAGTGCGATATATATGAAACAAAGCAATTTCAGAGGCAATTCGCAAGAGATTTTTGGGAAATTTATATACGTGTATATATATTTCGTAACATATGACAACATTACCAAAGTTTTGTGGGTTCAAATTTCTTCAAGAACACAGATTTTATCCCCCAAGTTTACCATTTTCATATTAGATTATTAACTATACATGCCCGTATAAGGAACTTCCAGAAGTGCACTAGGACAAGTATATACATTGTAGTACAAGTATGTACATTGTAGTACATTTGTCTCTACGTTACATATATTGCCGTTTTATGCTCTCGGAGTATTTTCACCAGAGGTTATCCATCCTTATTATCTACGAAGTTCTTAATACTTAATAAGTTCTCGTTGACATGCTTGAATCCTTTACCGGCTTATAGTTTATCGCTGATGCTGGTAGTCCAACTATCATTGATAATTTTTTATTTGTTATTCTTCATTGTTGAAGTCAACGTCCAAAGTTGAAAGAAGGGAGCCAACGTCGTCGTGGAGGTATCGGCTCCGCTCGGTTGATGGGATTTAACTGACGTTCTCCTTGAGATATCTCCACTCTCATCACCGTCTCGCGTTGCTCGTCGTTACCAGTGTTATTTTCCTAAGGAAAAATGTCATAGAAATTATGCACTTTTCATTTCAATGTCCCGAAATGAAATCGCAAGGACTATAGGGTCAGGATTAGGGTTGGTTTGGAATGGATTGATCGCATATCACTTCGAGAACATGTTATACAAACGAGAATGTTAGAAGAAAACTTATACTGTATGCTTGTTTTCTGTATGCTTGTTTGCTTGTATGCTTGTTTGCATTGAGCTGCAGTGTGAACAACTGAGGAAGCAGAAGTGAACTTAGCTACTAGGGAGGTCTGAGATGCGAATGGTGCGATGGATACAAGGAATATCACTCCAAGAATATCTTACAGACGAAGAGGTTAGAAGAAAAGCTGGACTAAAAGCATGGTCAAGAATGTACATTAGGCTTCCATTAGGCCAGCGATGTTGTATGGAGCTGAAACTTGGCAATGAGGAAGGAGGAACAGAGTTTATTTGAGACGACTGAGGTGAGAATATTCCAATGGATACAAGGAATATCACTCCGAGAATATCTTAAACTGGATGATAGTAGAAGAAAAGCTGAAGTACAATCCCGCCATAATTGAGTATTATAGTATAAGGAGTTGGAAATTTGATCCGATGAATGATAGAAAATTGGCTAAGAGAGCAAGGAAGAATAAAATAAACCAGAAGAAGACGAAGGATAAGTGGACTAATGGAATTAAGAAGATTATGGAAGCGATTGGACTATACATGTTACATGCACTAGCTGTAACTGTATTGTCAGTAATCAACAAATAAGCCAAACCATAAAAATCGTTGTTGTGTTAACAGCCTTGATTTTCATTGTTTTCTGTGAAAGTATAATCAAATTTGCTCTTAACATTGTAGGTCATGAATCTCTCATCATATATAGTCAATAGTTTATGTATGTCTCAATATTTTAGTTTATAAATTGTGAAAGTACGGACTTCAATTTCACTATTTGTTTCACCTGTGCTTTCAAGATAAGATCGATGATCCATTTGAATTTGATTTCAATGCCCAACAATAGAAATGATGTCACAATACCAGCAGTCATGATAATAAATACACCACCAAGATTCTTCAGTTCCAGTGTGACTGTTGCTGATGCTGGTGGCTCTCTACTGCACTGAGATTTCTCATCCCACCAAGCTTTTCGACGTTTTTCAATGAAACCTTCTTCACGAAGCTACAACACAAGAAACCTGAATGATCTGCAGTGCAGGGGCATAAAAATAGTAGATTGACAATTCTGTCTCATTGTCATATATATTGTTGGCTGGCGACCGTTTTATAGGCTGAATAAATCTTAGCACTGGACATTTATAATCCGGCCATATTATATGTCAATCATCCTATGAATAGATACTTGTTGTTTTAGGCTTACTTCTAGTCGATTAAATATACCGAATAAAGTATTATCATTATGTGTTGTTGGTTGGTCGTTCCAACAGATAAATGTAGTTGAACATGCCAGCCTTCAAAAACGATTGTGAAACAGATTTTGTAATAAAATCGCAATGAAGACTCCTGGACTTGATTATTAGACGTAAAATAAAGACATTTATAGCATGACCAAATTTTATTGATGATGGTTGGTGGTGGTGATGATGGTGGTTGGTGATGATGATGATGGTGGTTGGTGATGATGATGATGATGATGGTGGTTGGTGATGATGATGATGATGATGGTTGGTGATGATGATGATGGTGGTTGGTGATGATGATGATGGTGGTTGGTGATGATGATGATGGTGGTTGGTGATGATGATGATGGTGGTTGGTGATGATGATGATGGTGGTTGGTGATGATGATGATGGTGGTTGGTGATGATGATGTTGGTGATAGTGGTTGTGGCAAAATATTAGTGTACACTCGATATAAGTCAGCAATAAAAGTATAAACCGTTCCGTATGGTATATTTTTGGTCCGGCAGTTTGGTGTGATATTGAATAATGTGTTTTGTTTCTCCCATTGCTGTGGCGAAGCAAACAAAGCTTGAGTAGCTGGCTTCTAATCTATGGTGAATTTTTATGAAAGTTCTGAATATGGCAGCTTCTATCACCAGCTTACCTTAAGAATTGCTACGGAGAGAGCATTAGTGTACTCTGAATTCTTGGTTAAACCAAACCCATAACTCTTCACTTCAAACAGATCACCAACCAACATAGTATTACACGGCTTCTGATTGTTGTAGTTCTCCAATATAGGCGTCTCTGAAATATAAGCATATCCACCTAATCTTGCTCTCGCAACACCCGCTTTAGATGAGGTCATCGCAGTGTCCTTTTCGTTGATGTGGCTGATCATTTTCTTGTAGATGGGTTGTTTTGATGCTTTTAAGAAGTCCATGTTTTGACCGTCCTTTTCCATACCATACTCTAGGTTTGATTTGTAGACAAGATCGTCCAGGCTCTTGATTGGGCTCTCAATTTTTTTATCTGTTAAAGTGATAGAATAAAGATTTAAAGTTGACACATTATTGTTTAATCAGGATGTAACCTGAGTATCAGGCCCTCCTCGAGTTTGGAAAGCCTGATACTCAGGTTAATCAGGATGATGATTTCTGGCTATGATAACGGTCCTAGACTTACTTGTAAAGAAAGCAGCCAGATTGGCAGTATACGTGGATATAATGATAAGAATAAAGAACCAGAATGCTGCAGCCAGTATACGTCCTGATGGTGATTTGGGCGTATTATCACCACCTTGTTGTAGAGTGCTTGCCGTAGCAAACCACAGACTGTTCATCAAGTTAAATTCTTCACCTTCACCTTCGTTCTCTGCTGTTTTTCGGTATCCCAGAGGACTAAAATAGTCTACACAGCATAGCAGAAAGGTCATAGCAAAAACCTATATGAAGTATGAGAGAGGTGGTATGAAATGGTTGGACTAATGTGGAAGGGAGTGGCCGTATGAATAACTTTTGCTAATTTGATCTCCCGGCCCAAACTGTTCTCTATATTATTGGGGTTTTGGTGGCGCAGTTGTCAGAGTAAGTAGTATAACTTTCATCTCTGAGATCGTGGGTTCGATTCTCACTGCGGACACTTACCTGAATGAAGAGCTCTACCGAAAGGCCCTTTACCGAAAATCTGTTTGCTCCAGATACTACGGTTTCCTCCCACAGGAACTGGTGACCCTGAAACCCACCCTGGGTTGGGAAATATACCAAACTAACGTACCCTTGATTCCATCGTAGCTGCGCTCCATGAACAGACATGAGTCATACGGTGGCAGCCAAAAACGTCCTTAGTAAGCCTTCGACGCGATCAGTTGAGCTGCGTCCTTCATAATTCAGCTCGGCTCTCAAAGTAAGGACGATTAAAATACCCCACTTACTTACTGGAGGCCCAGTAAAAGCCATCCCTTTGCGATCGAGTGCTTATGTTGAAAAAAACTGGGACACCCAGAAACGTTTAAAAGAGTTGGAATCGCCCAGTCTTTCTTCACATTAAACAACGTTATTGAATGAAATTATTGCATGCAGCGAACCCTGGTCGCAAAACTGGTGAAAGCAAAGACGTTGCGACCGGGGGGCTGGATGAGGGGTGTAAATTCCCCAAAATTACCATTGTTGTAAAATACAGTCAATTTAGATGGAATTCGATTGCGAATTTGCTTTAGAAAACGCCAGAAATGCAGTCCTGGGGCTTCAAAAATGTAAACATTTTCTGGGGAAGGATTGCCTAGACCCCCCTTTTCTTCGGAAGCTTAGTATGATAGTGGAAATCAATCAGAAAAAGCTCTATTATAATTATTACACTTCAGGTAAATTTTTAACATTGAAGTTCAAATTTCAGGTAAAATCCTCCGACACCCCCCAACTTCAGATGCTTCGCTACGTCCCTGAGTGAAAGGCACGCGCGCTAATAGTCAGCTGCCAAGGGTGCCCTTATTTGTTGCTTGTTCATCGATTGTTGTTAGATGAAAGCGTGTTACAGCTCATAGTAGAGCAATATGGTTGATATCTGGCCAAGATCTTACCGTAAGTACTACCATTAACCAAACGTTACTAGAAAATGGCTTGTGAAAATTAAAGAGGTCTTCTTTTTCCTTCGGGATTAGCAAGATCAGTGCCATCTTGAAGTCCATGAATGGTTTACTGAAATCAATCTTTTTTTCACGAACGGCTGTGATTGTGAAAGAACCAATTGCCAAATCCACCTTCTGTAACAGACAATGGATATCTGGGGTTGATCCAGTGAAGAACAGAAGGTGACGATTACCTGAAATAGCTATATAAGGCTTGGGAGAGCAAAGTGAAGCTATGAAAGAAAAACCGAGGCTGTGTGGGAAAGTCTAATGAAGCGCAAGGTAGACTGGGCGAAGATAAAGAAGACAAAAAAGATAAGGAATGTTCATAAAAAAGGGGAGCGTAGGAAAACCTTGGTCCTTTTTTGGCGAAATAAGAAATGCAAATGGACCTTTCCCCTTATAACTAAAATTTTGATCTAGACAAAATTGTAATCACAGCTTGAAAGAGCATCACAAAATTAGTAATATTCCAAAGCTTCGTTGCGAAATGTTGTAAAATGCGGATAATATAGGCATATAGCCTCGCGAAGTTTGCCGTTTTTCAGTCATTTTGTATTACGCACGGGAATTGACAGCCCAATCGGGTGTTGGGGCATCAATTTCCCGTTTGTAATACAAAATGACTGAAAATTGTAAATTTCGCAGGGCTATAGCCTATATTATCTGCATTTTACAACATTTCGCAACGAAACTTTGGAATATTACTAATTTTGTGATGCTTTTTCAAGCTGTGATGAAATTTTTATCTAGATAAAAATTTTAGTTATAAGGGGAAAGGTCCATTCAGAATCTTTCCTGGAACAGATGATGGTATAGATAAATGGTATACAAAATTTTTTTTGTGTTAAAACACAATGAAAATTTAAAATTATTCAGGGTGTCCACGGGCCTTGCAATTTCTGGAAGTACTTGAATTTGAAAAAAAAGGAAATACAGGTCTGGAAAGTCCTTGAAACTAAGTGGAAGTCCATGAAAGTCCTGGAACGTCTTTCCAACTGTGCTGATAAGACTTGAACAATATTTAGACTACTGATTTTGAATAAACAGTAGAGCTTCAAAACAAAATCCGTGCCATTTTAAAAGGTCCTTGAAACACCTGGAATTTCATCTTCACTAGACGCTAGAACCCTTATTATAACATTACAAGATGTGGCAGCATGCAATGAGAACAATCCCAATTTCCACTCCAATCCCTTTACTCTCCGAATACCTTTTCCTGCAAAGCTTTGACGAATGCTTTTGATCCACCTTTCTTTAGTACGACAAACTCGTAGTCAAAATCAAATCTCTTTGCTAACTCACGTACGATGTCAAGTGTGAATCCTGTCACGTTTTGCGGTGCCAACTTGCTTTCATTCACAAACACAAATGGAGGATCCGACTACACATTAAGATATGAATGTTTTCTTTAGAAATAATGAAAGAGAAAATGGCAAAGCTAATTGTAATTGTTCCACGTACGGTGAACATGCACAAATCCACATTTTGTCTTCTGATTGTGGCTATTTGAGTGACATTTAAACGTGACCTCGTTTACGCATTTGTTAATAGAGTGGCCATTATCAAGGAAAAGGGATCTAACTAAAACAAGTGGGAAAGTGTAAACTTATAGACGAGTGTGGGGGGTCATCACCAGAAAATGTTGTGTATTTTGTGGGGCTTGAGTTTCTGTATTTTCAGACATAGACCTTTGATGTATTTCATCTGCTAGACAATTAGCGTTATGTAGGACGTCACTGAATTATATAAGGAACTGTTTCTTTGAGCAATTGTACAAGACATACCTACAATTTTCAACCTAATTTTAAACGTTTTGTTTACTGACATTTCTATGCATGTATTTCATTCCTGAGTAATTGTATGATTGTAATGAAAGATATTCTTACGATTTTCAACATTATTTTTAACTTCTTCTTTGTCTTCTTCATTGGTTCTTTATCTCTAACTTCGTTACAAATGTAGTTCTCCACGACTTTGCCCACCCAACGTATCGAGTCCACTTCCGGGAGTTCAGATTTCAATGGCTCTACATTCCACGTTCCGCCCTAGGTACAGAAAATACAATTATTGTAAAGAAAAGAAAGAAACGTAGTTATTTCTACTGGATATCTATGCGTTCTGAAGTATCCTTAGTGGAATAGGATGGGCCATTGATCCATCACTTACTGGTTCAATGTTCCTTATTATTTAGAATTCATGCTTTCTGATTGGCTAACAGGGCAGTGTGACAACGTCAATTCAACTCAATAGCTGATCAAGTATGGAGTTTTTAGATAATATTCAATGGTGTGACGTCATAAAATTGATACGAAAAATCCTAAACGCTATGATGTTATACCATTGACGACTGCCAAAGGAGTTGAGGTATTGCGTCACAACATAACACAAACTTCGGTTTGACATCATATTCATGCATATCTTGCTCAACCGCATTCAATAATTGTTAAATATTAGTTATAAGTTCTAAACGGTCCAGTAAGGGCCACCACTAATCGTTCCTGTCATGCTTGGAAAAAATCAAACAAAAGTAAACGTCTCTCTCTTCTAAAAGGCTCGGACGCTTATTCGGTAATTTACGGTATATATTAATTATTACCCTAGTAAGTTTGTTTTTAGTCACTACAACAAAATCCATTTTATCTATCTTTCTCACTCCATGTTCATCAAATTTGATTTCTCCTGTCAATCCACAGTTTTTGGCCTATGTAAAAAAATTAGAAGATGACAGTTATGTAGCTTGTATCCATATAGGTGCACTTGGACTGCTTTCAGCCAAAGTGTGCGTACCTTTTTTGAGGAACAAAGTGGTAGAGATATCTGTAATAAAAAAATTAATGATTAAGTCAGTTCTTAAATTCATAGTCTTTCGAGACATGGTCTGGAAACTCAGTAAACTTCAAAGCGATTTTAATGAGCTGAGATTCTATGTTGAGCCGTACCTTACACCGTACACATCCTTTGTTTTAGGCTTATTAATATTTAAATAGCATGGTTGAATGACTGAACTGAAACGCTGTTATTGGATGATTCGTTCATTATACTGAAATACAATGTGTTCATTGACCATGCACCGTGCACAAAACTGCATAAACGCAGACAAAAAGATAGAACAAAGACTTTAGCCGAGTTGCCAAACCATATTTTGAAAGACTATGTTAAATTCAATGTAAGGAGAGAGAGTGAGGAAACGTGCCCCTCTATTAATATAAAATATTATCCTATCTTATCTTTATCCTATCTTTGGAAAGTGCAGGGACAGCTTGGAACACATGCATGTTTAGGATGTTTACTGTATCCTGGGTCTGTGCTATACAATATATGTTGATACATTTATATGTATGAAACCTTTTTGTAACTTGGTCATTTCCCAAACCAGGTAATTGACTTAGAAAGAACTGCAATATATGAGCGGTCCATGTCTAGTATATACTATCTTTGGAAAGTGTATAAGGATGGTTTGGAACGCATTGATCGTGTGTTGTAATTTTGTGTTGTAGCTTTGTCAAAGTTTGTAACCCTGTCTCTATTGTTTCACAATGTCTCAATCCTGTTGTCTGTACCTTCAATCGTTTTGTTGATTGTAAAGTTTATAAATAAATAAATAAAATTTCTCACATTTTTAATTTTTTGCAATATAACATCTGTAACATTGTGTAATTTTAATTTTTCCTGTATCTCCATCGCCACCGCATTTATCAGGAACAAAGCATCTTTTACTGTGGCGTAATAGACCTATTATTTAAAATGAGAAATAATATAAATTTGCATAAAAAATGAGTAGTTAGTACCATTCATCACAATACTCGTTAAAAATAAAAATAAAAATAAAAAGATAAAGTAGAAGATGTGAGGTAGAATTCTAAAGGGTCAAAGGGGAGGGGCCTTCCAAAGATACTTTTTATATATAATGATTTTAATAATGATAATGTCATGCTGTATTTCATAAATATATAAAAAAACAAGGTTCATTATCTTTGATGCCCTTCATTGTTGCCATTAGCTTAAAACGATGGTTAATAATAAGTAAATTAAGAACTAATTTGGTGAAAGGTAATGGAATTGAAATGGAACTTCCAGTATTATAGCCACTACTTACATCTGAATGTATCTTTCTGCCAAACGTCTGTCTTTCGTCAACGGAATCTGTTTTCCAGCTCGGTATGGGAAGAGTCAAACCAACAAAGCCATCAAGCGGTTCGTAATCTGGGCCTCGAAAATCCAGATCACTGACTATCCACTTCCAGTTTTGACGATCTCGGTCATAAAGCCTTGACTGTAATGTCTAGAAAATATATTTCATTGATAGTAGCCTCCCTTATATAGTTTGTTTTGTTTTGCTATGTAATAAAGCTCTAATAGACTGCATGCTGTCTGATTATAATTTCGATTCAATCACACCTGAAAATATGGAGTATCCGTTCATGGCTACACTGGACATATAACGGATGATTCTGAATGGACTTATGGGGAGAAAAGTTAAAAAAGAACTGATATGGTTAACAGTATGTGCTGCTGTATGAAGTTGAGGGTCTCCAAGCGGTTTTCAGGGAACAAAGAGACAAGGCATATCTTGCAATGAGAACACGGGAACAATTCCGAAAAGACACGGGGAAAACTTTTCACGGGAACACAGACCCCCTGGGAGACTCTCAAGTTGAATATTGGATTATGTGGAAAAGGAAGAAACCCGAATGAGTTAGACAGAAATAGACCCTGCCGAAGATTAGGAATGAAGACATCCGAGGATGTGGGATGATGGACATTGCATAGAAGACGAGGGAAGTCTAAGAAAGATGTAATAGGAAGAGATTAAGGGGTGTCTTGGAGATTAAGGAGACCGAAGAAGAAATGGTGGGCTGTGTAAAAGTCGATCTGAAAGGAATAACTGTCGACATGGGATAAAATAGGGTGCTGAACAGGCATTGAAGCGGGCATACCGGGTCAGTCTTGGAATTGGATAAAGAAGCAAGATCTAATTATTGTACTGCATGGGTGATTTGGGGAATTGAGTTGAATGTAGATGATGCTACAATGGACTTACAGCGTTCACCACTTGTTTAATATCTCTGGTATCACAAAGCAAGACAACGGTTTTGATTTGAGTGTTCCATGCCATTCGTATGACGTCCTTAATCATGCTGACGTCATTGATCTTGAGTTCTGGCATCATCTCCATTTTTATGTATTCCCGTTGACTCTTTGTGTGCAGGTTCATCGCCTGACGGCTTCGCTTCTCTGTGGAATGCGAATTAGAATTAAAGTAATGTCTGAAAACATTTATACCTCCCTCATGTACAGAAAAATATAGGTTTTTTTTCAGTAGGGTTGGACAGATGTTTAATTTAGTTAATCTACCTTTTCCAATCAGGAAATCTAGTCGTATTTTTACAGTTATTGAGGTTGTGAAAGTCAATGCAATATTAATTCACAGATCAAGATAATGGGAGATTTTTGAGAAACACATTTCTTCGATGATTATCAAAGCTATATAAATTACTTATTTGAAGATAATTTCTATATGACAGACAATAACAGACTACTTGACTTTGAAAAAAGCAGTGTAAAGTAGTATCAATACCTCAAGTAAAGATTGAAGTAATTCAATAGAAGTAACCATCACTTTCTAAAGGCTTTTCCAGCTTACTGCTTAAAGACCATGTCAAGTCCGTAATGTAAACAAATTCTTTGTTTACATTTTGAACTGCTATATTTGTAAATAAGACATACTAACTGAATATCTAACACTTTTCTGGTTCACTATTGTAAATGAATGCAAACTAGAGTGCATTTCAATTCAAAAAAGTTCCAAAGATGCAAAATTTGGGCAATGTTTGTATTTGTGGGTCCCCCTTTGTTATGAGCAGAACTGATGCGCAGAACGGACTTGACATGGTCTTTAAGCTTCGGTCAATCAAGAATTAGAGTTGATGAGAGTTGGCAGTCACGAAATATTACAGGGGGCATTTCAAGGTCTAGATTAACAAAATAAATATTTGATGAGTGTGCTATGTTCTAACTTAAATAAAATCCATGAAAAGTTGGGAAAGCATTAAGAACAGCTAACTAAGATCGCGTTACTGCCAACTCTCGTGCGCGCTCGTCTTCGTTTGGTCTTTAATTTGGATCCTATGCAATATAGTTATATAACCTTACCGTCATATAAAAGAATACTGTCTGTCACCTTGTACCTCAGTAGGACATCAATAATGGCTGAATTGATAACATTGATACTTGGATACATTGAAATGGTGTATTTTCCTTGAGGTTTAGATTGTGGTACCATTGTTACCACAGGGATTTTGAGATATTCTGCTAAGGTTTTTGCCTCTTCACCACTTCTTTCTAGATCAATAATGATGTTAACCCGGCTATCTTTGAAATACTCTATATTTTTGAGCAAGCCACCTGTAAGAGCAACAAGTAGATTAGTGTGAAAGACACAAGTAAAATGCTTTTAAAGTGTTTATCGTTAGACTGTCAGTGTTGTAAGCAACTAAAATATGGACACTGAGAAAGGAAGAGGGGCTATTTGAGAGGACTTAGATGAAAATGTTACGATGGATACAAGGAATATAGCTCCAAAAATATCTTAAAAAGAAGGATGCTAAAAGAAGAGCTAGAATAGAGAGTAGTTAAGAATGTACTAAAACTATAGAGTTGAAACTTGACAATGAGGAAGGAGAAAGCGAGACTATCAGACAGGACTGAGATGAGAAAATTACAATGGATACACGAAATATTTCTCAAAAAATATCTTAAAAAGCCTCGAGGATGTTAAAAGAAGAGCTGGAATATAGAAAGTATAGTTAGGAAGACGATACACAAGAAGGCTAGAGTAATGGAAGACAAAGGAAAGTAATGGAACTAGAATATTAAGGAAAAGATTGGACTTACGGACAATGATGTAAGAGAGCAGGAAGACGATACACAAGAAGGCCTAGCCTTTAAATAGAGGGGGAAATCCAGAAGAATCCCAACCCCTAAATAAACGAAAAGGGGAAAAGAGAAGAGGACCCGTAACTCCATTAGGGTTAGCAGATTGGTCCACGCGTAAGAATGCACATCAGGATTGGACGTCAGGTTGTGTTTGCGCACTACTACTTCAGCACTTGTTGAAAAGTTACGTACAGTTTTTGGCAAGTTGCTATAACATATTTATTATATTCAATTTAAGTTTGCAGTAAGAACTGATATAACATTTCAGAATTTGTGACTGATAACCTTCATGCGAAAAAAAGTACCAATACTGTAAATAAATATTGAAGGAGTTGGTTAACAAGCCATGTTGCAAATATATATATACTAGCAGCATGTTTTACCTTTATTCTTAATGGAATTCTTGGAAATATTGATTGTGACTTGAAGAGATCTGTCCATGTGTCCTTTTGTTATAAATCTTCCAAGATCTTCTTCAAATCCACTATAATTGCTATCCATAAGCACTCCAATAGCTAGAAATGTCAATAAGATAATCAATCTAAAGTTCAGTAATAAGATAATCAAGCTAAAGTTCTGTAACACATTACTGCAAATGGCTTCATCTCTGCGACCGATGCTCGATTTTTTGCATCACGGACCATTGAAATCATGTATTAGTTTTGTTGAGAATATCAATAGGTTTCATGACTCCTTGCTTTAATTAAAAAGCCATATAGCATTGGTTCTACTAGATCAATTTTAATAATCCTAGTGTCAAAATTCATCTCTTAAATTAATTTTTTCATGCCCACTAATAATGAACTGTGTGAAAATCTGGAACATAGCTATTGCAATTTTTCAGGCAAAAATGATCGTGGACATCGCGTGCGTCAAACAAAAGTAGATGTATTGTTACAGAGTTTATTATTAGCATGACAAAATTACTGGATGCTGATTGGTTGAGAGGAGTACAATTATTTCATTAATTGTACTGCAGTATACAATTAATGATTTTCCCAAAACAAATAAAATGGCGGAAAGGTATTTTAATTAAACACAAATGTGAAATGAAATTGCCCTTGAGGAACTAGATGAAAATACGAACAAAAGCACCAAATTTTGCTTTAACAAAAGAACTAAATGAAAATACGAAAAAAACCCACCAAATTAGGTTGAATGTCTTGCAGGACTGGGCTTTGGCTAGAGAATAAGATCTTGACGGAGAAGTATCCAATTTTGTCACGCTAATAATAAACAAGTAATGTTTGGAAATTGCCAAATTGGACCCGCCCCGGCGGCTCGTCCAATTTTGGCAAAATTTCCAAACATCTCTCATACTATTAATCCCTAATTGTACTCGCCATCGCATGATTACCTATACTAATCCCCCAAAAATTTCTCCTCCTACCTTTTAGACTTTAGATTTTATTCAAATTTGCACAATTATATATACATATATATTAATACGACAGATACACAGTTACTGCACAAAAAATTTAAGTTACAATGATTACAAATAAATTACCGTGCGCAGTGATCAAAGTAAATGCGAAAAACAACATTGAATAGGGAGCAGGGGGAGGACGAATTTCATGAAAGAACGTCTCAATGTTAATATTTGCGTTAGGAAAGTTAATTAGGTGTCCACATAATTCTTGCCAGGCTCGTAGGATCGGATTGATAGGTATATATATATATATATATATATATATGATATACAAAAGCCAACTATATAATGAAGAGATATATAGATATTTATATACGCTGCTTACCAAATTTGTCTGCGTTACTTGCCATTATCATTGCATTTTGATATAAACTCAGTAAAAGAATACCAACACATGACCAGAAACATTTCATTTCTCAAAATATGGAATAAAACGCCAAGTTTATGACTGTAAAGGACTAAAGGTTTTACCAAGCAATATTTTGTACAACAATATAAAAGAAACTAAATCATTAATGGGATGCGTCATCATTTTGGCGCCGTTTCATTTTGGTTAAAAACCACAAGAAAGCTGCCTGCAACACAGCAAAGCATTTAAAAGATAATTATACGAAGATAAATTTATCTCATGCTTAATATTTTATGTATTTTTGTTTTTGGCTGTGTGAATCTCCTATCGGCCGGGAATATATCTGTTGAATCCAATACAGTTTACATGATTGTGCATATTCGTGGTCCATGACATTCACAATCATATAAATTGTATGAAGTCTAACTTCATTACACGTATGAACGGTCGTATGATTTCAATGCACGATATCCCCAGTGAGAACTCGAGTCTAAAAAGTGAAGCCAGTTTCGTGTTAACCGCGCAGTCAAAAACAATGGAAAGGAATTGGACTGACGTCCAATAGCTCCTTCAATTTCCGCCATCTTGTCAAGGAGTTGACACCGATTTAAAGAATAACACTATGGTTTTATGAACTGACAGTTTGGTTAGCGATATGGTCCTTTAGGAAAAACTGGATTTAGCTGGGGGATTCGAAATGGTATAAAATATGTTTACGACCTTCAGGGCTATTGGACGTCAATGGCCGCCATCTTGGTTTCACTTTGCTCATAGGGAGAATGACCGAAGTTCTCGCTCCAGATGTATATAGAGCTCACTGGCTCTGCCTCCTCCGCAGGCCCTCGTTGCGTCATGGGAAGGCCACGTTCTGGCGAGGGCCTGCGGAATCTTGTAAAAAAATGGCGCCAGCGTCACGTCAGCAAGTAAATTTCTACATAATCTTGAATGTAAACAGATATAAAAAAGCGGTGTGAAACTTATAAATTAAACTGGCGACTCTTAGGACGTGGAAGGAAGCATTTTTTAACGATAAAGTTTGTTGTCCACACCAACGTTGCACGAATAAAACTGCCTTCTTTAACGAAGCAGGTTTAGAACAACATTTATTCATTTTACAAGACTCCGCAGGCCTTCTCGAAATCGTGACCTTCCCATGACACAACGAGGGCCTGCGGAGGAGGCAGTCACAGGCTATCCAAGTTTTTTTTTTCACAAAAAAGTCATTAGGGACCGTTTATTATTTATACCCGGGGTTGGTGCCGAAGGGATATGGGTTGGTTAGGCAATCAAGTTTTTGACTAGCTCATGTATGGGTGGGGTAAAAACATTTATGGCTGTTTGTCAGCTATAAAATAAAATAAAATAAAATAAAACCAAAATTACCAAGCATTGGAAAATATGACGAAAATGTGTACAATACATTCTGTATCAAAATAGACCATCAGTGATAGAGGAAGGACTCTATCAATTGATCAGCAGGAACGTGATTGCTTTGGCACACTCGGTGAGTTTGAGTGTGAGTGAGCTTTTAGAATTTAGGCAACTTGATTTCTGTCACCATAATCTTGTGTGTTTAATTATTATGAAGTACAGTAACACATGGGTTGGGTAAACGTTATTTTGACCATTGTTGAGGTTGGGTAAATAAAAAATTTACAGTGTTTTTCGCTTCTCTTCGGGACCAACACCTGGTATAAATAATGAACGGCCCTTATGCAGTGTGACGTCATAGTAAGGATGATTTACATATCAAACATTTCTAAACATCTCAAGAACGAAGCAGGATAACATAGTTTTGGCAAAGTATCTCATTTAATCAATTTGAATTTTCTTTGCAATGCAATTATAAAAAAATGACGTGAAATTTCGTTGTAGGCCTATAAGCACTTTAGTTAACAAACCAGAGAATAATAAATAAACTCAACTACTTCCGTACTGTTTAATAAACGAGCAGGAGTGTTTTTTCAGGTTTAAAGCCACTGCACGGGACATATTATGGTTGACATGATTTGCCAATAAGCTTATGAATTATTAATGAACTTCAAACACTCATTAATAATTCATAAGCGTATTGGCAAATCATGTCGACCGTAATATGTCACGTGCAGTTGCTTTAAACTTGATAAAACATTCCTAATTACTATTCTTTATATAAAGAATACTAATAAAGCAGGATCTATTGTAGTCGTGTCCTCATTAGTATTCTTTATATACTAATAAGGCAGTAGTATATCTATTGAATTTGTAGTCGTGTTTGAAGCCGTTCAATAAACTCGCAGGTCGTGTTTTCAATTAGATCTAAAGCCACTCGCGCTGCGCGCTCGTGGCTTTAAACCTAATAAAACACTCCTGCATGCTCGTTTATTAAACAGTACTTCACAATCAACCAAGATGGTATTCAATGGCACGCGTATAGTGTCCTCATGTGTAAACAAAGAATTAAATGTAAACTACTCCTTTGTTGTGAACTAAGGCAAGTAGTCCGTTTGGATGAGACGTCAATCGACCAAACTCGTCCCATTCGTCTGGTAGAGGCGGCGAAATCTGCATCAGCTTTCCCTTTTGTGACAGCGAGTAAGTCAATAGCTTATACGAGCATTTAGGGTAAACACATGCATAGATAATTATCTTCATGGTGATTCGACGGTATTCCACACCGTGAATTTCGTGTGGTATTTGAAATTTCAACGCAATCTTCCCTGCCTCCGTATAGACATAAACAATGTCCTGAAATTTTTGGCGCTACGAGTAGTAGGTCCTTCTTCACTGGGCATAAACACAAAGGCGCGTTGAACTTCCGCTCTAAAGAAAACATGGATACTTCAACAACATATCTCCCAGAGGCTGTTGTATCGTAGACGTACAATTGATCATCGCCTTGACAATGGATGAAAACTTTTTTTCTGTCGTTGACACATATGGTGAATGAGCTGTTCTTCGTCTCTCCGAGGAATTCAAATGGGTGTTGTCTTTTCAGGTTCCCATCTGCACTGAATACAAGGATTTCATAATTATTCTTTTCGTCGTCTTGTTTTTTATTCCATGTGAGAATATAGACGTAGTCTTCGTTGTCAATTGCAAGAGAATGCATTGGAAGGCAAATCTCTAATGGCAGACTGCAGAAGACCTTGAATAAAGAATCAGTAAGATAAGATATAGGATTGGATTGTATAAAATAAAATATAGTAGATTAAACTGGAATATATTTGATATACAGGGTGTATCAACAAAAGGTAATCTATAACTTCAGCATGTTCCCGTGCTTATAGATATTGAGCATATGGATAAAATTTTTACACACCACGAAAATTCAGTCCTCTAGCTGTCCAATGATATTTTCTTTGTATCATAAAAAGCGAAAAAGACCGTATACGAATCGAATCAAAATTTCCGGTGGAAATCGCTTTTTTATGAAAATGGATTTGGTGAAAAACTATTGAAAGTAAGTCCCATTTGGATCTAGAATTCACGAATTTTAATTTAAAAAGCCTAACATCTGGTCCGTTCTGTTTTATGGTCTATCTGATCCGACTCTTGTATCGAGTCGTTTTCTTTTTGCTTCTGTCTGATTTTCGCCTGTTTTATCAGGTATGATTCAAGGTATGACAGGCGAAAAGATAAAACAGAACCGAACAAATTAAAAGATGAATTCAAAGGTAAACACTTGGACTCCTGAACAAGACGAATTCGTCTCTAACTTGACAGCAAATGCTAATTAATTAAAATTGGAGATTAATTGGATTTTCTGCACTGCTTTAATAATGCACATAGGTGGAAAATTTGGTCATGTTTGCTTGAAAAAATGTCGTCATTCGAAAGCCAAAACCCTAATCTTTATTAAAGTGGCACTTAGGGGGGCTTCGGTGGCCAAGTGGTTAGCGCACTTGCCTTTCACCACTGAGGCTGCAGGTTCGAGTCTCACTAAGTACCTCCTCAGTGCGACTCGAACCCAGTCCCCATGTGAAAAGAGCAAAAGTCAACGCTCTGCCGAAAGCCGTGGATTTTCCCCGGGTACTCAGGGGTGGGTTAGGTAAAAAGTTGACAGGGGTGGGTTAGGTAAAAGGGCCCACAGTAATTGGCATATGCTGTTGTGGTGACCCTGCCCTAGTTGGCAAAGCCAAATAAATAAAAAAAAAACAAAAAAAACTTTTTATTTCTTATTGTCTTAAAATGCTCTTAAAACTGTATAGAACTTATGTTTGCGATGTTACTCTGAGTGCATATCCACATCGGGCGAGCTTGAAAAATATGCCCGGCCACGGTGGGATTCGAACCTACGACCTTTGGAATACTAGCCCAATGCTCTTCCAACTGACCGCGTAGCTCAGTTGGAAGAGCATTGGGCTAGACTCACCTGAGTACACAACACCAACACAGAAAAATTTGTATAGAAACTTGTTTTGAAGATTTTTGTTCCCATGCTTAGTTCTTGAGATATTTTATCTTGTTTGTAACCATGTGACGTCAATGACTCAATTATATAATGAGATATCAGTAATTGTTGTGTATCTTTGCTGTTTTTAATCAAATCTTTTCAAAGATGCGGCGCGTTTCTTAATTTAACCTACATCATTAAGCAAACTGGGTTTTTTTTTAACAAATCCATCAAAAACAGCAAAGATACACAACAATTACTGATGTCTCATTATATACTGTAATTGAGTCATTGACGTCACACGGTTACAAACAAAATGAAATATCTCAAGAATTAAGCATGGGAACAAAAATCTTGAAAACAAGTTACTATACAGTTTTAAGAGCATTTTAAGAAAATAAGAATAAGAGTGCCACTTTAATTTTGACGCGAATGCACACGAACACTCTAAGGCTGGATTGCTTTTTCTTTGATACACCCTGTGTAATGAATTTCAATGTGGTTTCTTTAAAATTTCAGAATCTATTTCTTTTAGGGTTTTTAAACTGTCGGCTGACCATGGGTTTTAGAGTAGGCTAAGAAGCATAAAATTCAGTAGAATCGAATACGATTCTATATTCATATCATTACCTTTATTTCTCCCGTTGGTTTAATCAATTTCACTTCATTATCATCCCAGCTCATTGCGACGATCTCTCCTTTGCTATTCACTGCGGAACAAAATGTATTTAGCCTCATAGCATTAACTGGTATGCTGGCCTCCATCGCAGGCATATCTTTGGTTGGCATTTGATAAGAGATTGCTAAGGTATCATTTGCCTCATATACGAGATGAATTGATTTCGCTTCCACATTGACTGTTGGCCATTTTAGGAGGAATTCTGGTGGATTTCTTGTAAACTCTTTTGCAAAATCATACATTACCACATGGATCTTTTGAATACTGCGTATATTTGCAAGTATGTCTTTTCTTTTGATTTCGTCGATTTCCTTGGTTCCACGGCATTTTGGATAGTTCGAGTAGTACAAGAAGGCTTGTTGAATGGCCGGTATCGAATGTAACGCCTCCATGTACATCACACAATCGCTCATTGCAGCATCTGCGTCTTCCAAGTTTTCCAGAATTGCGCTGATTATTCTAAGCTTTGTCGCAAGAATTCTGTCTTTCGTATCCAGTGCTCCATTACTAAACGCTCTGGTCGCCTCTTTCCGAGCTTCTTTGAAAGATTCTTTTGCGGATAAATAGCGTTCGTTAGAGACCTCTTTCGATGCCTTTAGCATCGTGGATAACGATCGTGTTTCGTTGAAGATCTCCTGCAAAGATGCACCAACTTGTTCGGATTCGCAGGAATGTGTTTTAGTCGGATTGTCTCTCGTATTTTGAATGGCCTGCTTGTCTCTCGTAAAATCTGTGGATTCACCCTTTGAATATGAGGAGAAATTTGTATAGTAATGTATGAAATTCGCATGCATAGACGAAAATCTAAGAAATTCGTATGGACTACACAACTTTTGCCTAAAACTGTCGCATGCAACCTGCTTACAACTTGAGTTGTACTGAGTATAAATCAATATATAACTCGCCTATCCGTTGTCGTAGACAGTTCAAAATTTATTCATACAATTTTTACCGGTATTGGACAGTCTCATGCATGGCCGCCCATGACTCCATGTTAACAATTTTCTAAGAATTTCTCGATATATAAGCATAACCTCAAATACGATAATAGGCGACCGGCCAATTAATCCGATGGCATTTTTTGTTACAAGTTGCCAACTTAAATTGTCTTACAGCTTAAACTGACATCGGTGAACAAGACTGTATATGTTGGCACCTCTGATTTTGGCTAAATATAAAATAAAAATTTTCCCTGATAAAGTATTATATGTGTTTACTAAAAATGCAAAATATCAAGTTCACTTTAATTACAAAGTTCGCAACACAGTAAAAACAATATAAGACATTTAAGCGAGTAGTGCGATTTTTCAAGCGCTAGCCGGTTTTGAGTTAAAGTGGGTTGCAGTTTGCAAAATATTAACTATTACCATAACTGATGCCAATGGGTCAATATCAGGAATTTGGGATGTATAAAATTCACGCTCGAAATCAGTTCCGTTTGCAAAACTCTTCTACAATCCTTCTAGTTATATCAAGTAGGAAATAGGAAATAACACTAAGGCAATAGACCTTTCCCCTTTTGAGTGAAATTTTGATTTAGACAAGTCTGGACAAAAATTTCATCACAGCTTGAAAGAGCATCACAAA